GCACACAGCTCAGCGGGGAGCACACATTTATAGGGCTCGGGGTCTTTGACGAAGTTTCCAGCCATGCCATGCATTCTATTACACTTCTCTAGCAGTGAGACACAGATGGCTCCAGTGGAAAAAGGCGGTATCTAGAGTCTGCAAGGCACCCTCAGAGACAGTGGTTTTCTGCCTTTGAAAAATTTTTGTGCAGTCTGCTCTGAGTTTAAAAATTTTTTAAATCATGTGCATGTTTTGCTAGAACAGAGGAGCAACTGATTTCCTAGAATCGAGCCTATTCCATTAACAGTTCTTAGCTGCTTTCAGTTTCCATCTGAATTGTATTCCCAGAAATGCCATGATGAGTAGCCTAAGAGGTTATTTTCCTAGCTGGGAAACGCTTATACTAGGTCATGGCAAAACATAGAATCTGGAAGGGCACGTAATTTGGAGGAGCTAATGAGAGAGTTCCAGCACCTCCCTGTTTGCTATTGTTCTTCCAAAGCCAGTATATGGCATTCAGCTCTTTTAAATCTCCTTGCAGACAGGCTGGGCTGTGTAACATGCTGCAGGCGGGCCTATTGCCAGGGCTCACATCATCGTCAATTGTCTCTAACTTATTCCCCGTGCAGTAGGTACAGTGGTTGGTTGGTTTGTTTTTAACTACAAATCGAATCATGTCATTTTCTGCCAAACAATCTGAAAAGCTCTAGACTGCTGATGTGGTAAAGTTCAGTCTTCATACCTGGCCTACAAGAGCTTGTGTACTCTGGCTCCTCTTGCCTCCTCTAAACTGTGGCTATCTTGGCTTCACCAGATGGAGCCTCATTCAGGACCAAACCCAACACGTTGTTCCCCAGTCGAGAGTTTTGCACTAACTCTGCTTCCTTCTGGAACTCACTTCCTTCATTCCTGGGCTCACTCTCATTTTCTCAGGTAGGCATTTCTGATCAACTACTCTAAAGTGGTTGTCCTTTCTACACTTACTTATGTGCCCTGCACTACTCTGTTACAATACTTATCAGGACTTAAAGTATTACATTTGCTGATATGACAAATATCTAATTTCAATCAAAAAAAGTATGAGCTTAGGGATTATGATGACTTTGCCAACCAGACACGCCTCAGTGCCTTCCCATTGCCTTCCACAGTGTCCTTTGGCACATGGTCCATGGCCAGTGCATATCTCTTGAATGACCAAGTGCAGTCATGGCTAAAAGGGCATGCTTTGGAGTCACTCGGGTCTACAACTGAGTCTGTTCACATTTCTTGGCTATTTGACCCGGTAAAATGAAATATGGAGAATCCATCACCCAATGTTCAAACCTGACTTTGTGAATGTGAGCGCCTGTTATCAGCCTTTCCGCTGCTGAAATAATGCTGTTATCATCATTGCTGTCTTCTCCTCCTCGTCATATTGCCATGTGAGGTTGGGTAGGATGGTTCTGTGACCCATAGAAACCCCCCCCACCCATCTCTCTGAGATAAATATATGTACAAAGGCAGCATAGTTCAAGGTTTTGCTGAGATTTGGTTTGCATTTTCAGTGAGAGCTGTGGATGTCATTCTGAGTCCAATTACTTAATAATCCCAAACTAGTCCTTCCTGTCTGTTTAGAGGCCACACAACTGTGGTACATGTCATTTAATGATGAAAACACTACTAACAATGACTACTGAGAAGAAGACACTGAAATAAATCACTGTATACATTGACAACTGCAGGACTTTTTTTCTCAAATGTCACCACAAATTGATTTTAAAGCTGAAGTATGGAAACAATTCTAATCTGGCATTTCACTGGTATATTTTGATAAAATCTGTTCATCAGTCATGTCTCCCAACTAGTCCCTCATAGTACTAAGTACTCAATAAATTATCATGCTCTATTTTAAGTGCCTTTTACTGTTTTCACTAAAGTAAATTCAAGTTTGCTTCTTGGTACATGGAATTATACCTTTGACTAACAGCTCAGCTGACAGTCCCTAGAATATGAGCACACTTGTTTTTTAATGAACAAGTTGATTAAATCTGTACTTTTATGCATCAGTCACAATACAACATTTAATAATTTCAAATGCGGTTGAAGCTCAAAGTATATGCCATTCATGAGAGTTCCTTTAAGCTCTCATCAAACACTACATAAAACTATACAAAAAATATCACCCATCTTTGCAACATGCCAGTGTCTCATCAGGAGAAAGCAGGTGTGGAGAGCTGCCAAGAATGTAAACACAGAAAGGGTCTATGTGAGGAAGTAAGAAAACAAATGTAATTTCGAAACATAAAAAGTGCATAAGTTCTTAAGATAAAAAGGAATATTTGTAGTAGGAAAAAATCTCTCAACAGTGAGTAGTTCAAGTAAGTTTATAAACCAGTGTAAAGATGTTTGCAGCAGGTTTACTGATATCTCCTTTTGTATATATTTTCAATGTATGTCCCTTTTGTATGTTCCCTCATCAAACTCAGAAGACTTTTGTTGATTTTCTTAGTTTTTTTTCCAGTAACAAAGTTTTGGCATTGTTTATCCACTCCACTGTATAATTTTTTGGTTTCATTCATCTCTGCTATTATAGCAGTTATTTAAATTCTTCCAGTAACTCTGGTTATTTTTTCTCTAATTTTCTGAGCTAGATGCCCTACTGACTGTACTTTAACTCTTTTTTCCTAACATAAAGATTTGTAGGCTATTTGCTTTCATAAGAAGACTGCTTTAGCAGCATGTTAGGTGTTATCTGTGGAATTTTCATCATCAGTCAAAAAAATAGTTCCTACTTTCAATCATTTCTACTTCTTTGGTATCTACACTATTTAGAAATGTCTTTTTTGATTTTCAAATGTGATGTTTTCTTAATTGCTTCTTAAAGTTAATAGTTTCCAATTTAAAGACATTGTGGTCAGAGAACATGTCCCGCATGGTGTCAAGTCCCTTCAAACTAGCAGAGAGCAGTTGGAACCTGCTATCTGACTGAGCAGATGTAAATTTTATGGCAAAGTTCCAAGTGTGCTTGTAGGTCATGAGTATTCTACCTTTCTGGCTTTAGGTCTCAATATTATAACAAAGGCCACATTCATGAATCAAACTTTTTGAATATTTATAACTTTGTGGATGTATTTGGTCTGTATTTTTTCGGAATTACTGAAAGATGTGTTAAAATTTCTTGTGATGACTGTGGGTATGTCTCTACGTAAAGTTCTGTACTGTTTCCTTATACACTGGAACTATGTCATTGGGAGCATTGTTTTTAACTTTGTATATTATTATGACAAGTTTAGTGGGCTACTATCATGAAGTAATGTTCTTTGGCTTTTGTTTTTCCTTTCATATACCACCTGCTTGTTGAATATCAAGTTGCTTAAGGATGGTTTTCTTTGTACCATACACACATCATACTATATCTTTCACATTTTTGACTTCTCATGTTTCTATATCCTTCTCTTTTCTATTTTTTATAAATAACATACTGTTGGTTATTAAACAAGAAAATAGTTACATATTAAGTGAAGCATGTCATTCGTTTACATTTATCTTGTTGATTGATATATTTGATTTGCTACAATTTTGGCTTTTTCATTGGCCTGTTTTATATTTCACAATCAGACCCTGAAAGGGCCAAGGATTTCCTTTTACATGGACCTGTCCATTCTCCCTACTTCCTCCAGATGTCTCAACTTAATCCCTGTTCTGGGTGTTTGCATATGTCTTTGACTCTGTAAAGAGTTTATGGTCTTCCAAGAGCTCATCTCATTCTTTTGTAAATAAATTGAGTGAGGAATTCTGTCCTTTATCCTACAGGTGAAAAATCCCCACAAGTGGGGTGGCTACAGGCAGACTGACAAAGTGGAAAGTGTGCTTTCCATCAGAAATGGCCAAAGAAGCACAGTCCCGCAGCTCTAAAAGACACCTACCGGGGGGTTGTGTAGGTCCCACATCTTCAAATTGGGGAAAGATTCAAATTGTGGGGAAAGAGATTGAAGGAAACTTTTCAATTCATCATGTGTTTAACAATTACACATAAAGTTCCTCCTATATGCCAGGCATTTCTTCTAGGCTCTGGAGGCCTAGAAAAGGAAAAGGGCTGAACTTGAACACAACAGCTGGGGTAGATGTAGTGTGAGCAATGAATGTCAGCAAACTGTTCAAGGGATGAAGTTTTATGAATCACACTACTCTCTTTTTTGTGATTATTAATCCAACTCATAACCTTTTCATTATTTACTGTAAACCATTTTCTTAGGCAGAATCATCTCTTGTGTGTCTCCAAGAGCTTTACAGAAATGTGGGTGTTGGGTTTCCTAATACAGTATTTCTCATGAAAGCAGTTCTTGAGTCCCATGGAGGCTCTTGCCTGTCAAGGAATGGCCCTGAGGTTGTGAATGGAGCCGGTCCTAGAGAATTCAAGGGGAAGGGGAGCATGGCCCTCGAATTTGGTTCCATCTGTAAGATGAGACAGCAGGCTATTGCAAAGAACACCTAGTGGGGGTGATAGTCCTTAACTTGTCACTTGTTGGGGGTTATGTGGCTACATGAGCTCTTTTACCTTAATAGCTTTCAGTTGGGGACATCCAGCAGTGCTCCCAGGGAGCAGAGCAGCCCTCTCTCTCCATAAGGGACTAGAGGAAGGCTGTCATAATACCCAGACAATGATTCCCTGGACATTATTTCAGTAAGGTACTGTAACTTGGATAAAAATCATGACTTTATTTCAGAAGAAGGACCCTCACCTGATTGAAGAGCTAAGATGGACATGCATTTAAAATTGAAAACTTACATTTGACCTGTGAGTCAAAGATTAGTGACACCACTCATGAGTAGTTGTCATAAGAAACTCAAACTGAATACATGGTGAATTCAGCCCTTCTCTCAGGAAGAATGTTGTGGCAAGTCTCATTAGCATACATGTCTTTGCAGTCTATCTGCTAAGAATGTAGTCCTAATGAACTCTGCTCCATTTGTATTAGGATCTTATAATTGCACAGTTTTTTGAAGCATCTGTCTAATGATGACACTGGAAAATTGGCGACTTTATGGTGAAAGGTTATTTATTTATTTGGCCAAAATTTCCCAGTCACTGTTTAAGTGTTTGACATGGAAACAGCAGCTGAGATTACAATGATGAAGTCATAGATTAGAGCTTGTTAGTGAGGTAACATCAGGGAGACAGAAGTAAATAGGTCATTTCAATTTGCAAAGTTATGTGGTTAGTACCATGGAAGCACAAAGGAGGGTCCTCTATCCAGTTTAGTAGATACAGGAAATCCAAGACTCCAAGGGGAAACTAGTCAGTAAAATAAAGCCGAAGATCAGTGAGAGGAATTCTTTGAAGAATTCTGAATACTGGATAGTTACCTACAATAAAGAGATGACATGTCAAGCTCGTGCACCTGGAAGTAGTTCATTGTAACATACACATTGCACACAAACAGTAAGCTAACAGGGAATTCCAGAAACACCAAGGATACACAGTAGATACACTGCATGTCTAACACTTCAAAACTATACTTTGCTGATGGAAAGCAAAAGGCACACCAACTAGGATTTTTAAAGTCACATGATACCTTATTTTTCAGAGAATTTAAGGAAGTAGAAATCAACTCCAAAATACAGACAAGATTAGGATTTTCTTTTCTCACATCTGGACCTCACTGGTAGACCTCTCTTTCGAGCTAGCTGATGCTTCTCTGGGAATGCAAAATTTCCCAGCACCATCCTCACCGTCCTTACCATTATCATCATTGTTTCTTCTCTCTTATACTGCTGAACAAGTTACATAGTAATAAATTTCCAAAGATACAAAGGTTTATACAAAATAAATATGCCTCTCTAGTTTCCCCTAGAAGAAGTCAATGTTGCTAATTCTCATGCATTACTCTAGAGATCACCTAAACGTACATGATGTGTATATAAATGTACACGATGCAGTAAGAACTTCATTTTTTTCCGGAAATAACCATTCTGGTCCTATTGGTCTGCCTCCCACTTGTCTTACTTTACAAAATATTGTGTAAATTGTTGTGTATCATTACAAATACAGCTCTGTTTCCCAATTTACTAGCTACATAATATTCCAATATAAGAATGTGGCTAAAATTTATATTGCCTATCCCAAATAGATGGGCATATAAGTAGTTTTTCCAAACTTTAAAATTATATTCAGTGCTGCAATGGACATGTTGTCATTACACCACTGCTGTGAATTCTCTGTGTATGAGTATGAGTGTGTGTGTGTGTGTGTGTGTGTGTGTGTACCTAAAATCAAACCTGTTGGGCCAAAATTAACATACACTAAAATTATTAAGTATTAGCATGATGTTCAATAGATATGGTACAATTTACATGCACATAAAAGTACATGTTTTCAAAAACATTGGGAACACAATTTGATAACATGAGGTAAAACATATCTTGTAGTTTCACTTCTGTTGAGTAACTTGAATGTCTTACCTTTTCATAAGCTATCTTACTCAAAGTTTGTAGTATTTACTCAATATTTATTAATTTGTGGTTCTTTAGGATACATAACTTGTATAACTTAGTTCTTTTCTCCATTAAGGTGATCTTTTCAGAACATTTTGGCATCTAAATTCCTTTTTGCTCTTTATACTGCAACAAATATATTTTTACCTTCATGCAGTTTTGTCAGCCTTTTTATGTCTTTTGGTTTATGTCACTTTAGAACAAATTCAACATTCCTAGATAATTTTATAATTATCTGGTATTTACTGTTTTTATGGAGTCTGTTCAAGTTTAAGGTAAAGCTGGAATTTACCTTGTGCAGGGTTTATAGTATATCTAATCACTTCCTCTTCCATAAAGTTGTCCAGTTGTCTGACAACAGTTATTGTACAGTTCATATTTTTCCCACTGATTTAAATAACGTTTTTCACATACTTAATTCCTGTATGCCATTGGTTCTATTTGTAGACTATCTAGTGGGTTTTGTTGCTGTGTCTTTATATTTGTGCCTCATGACACACTACTCTCATTATTGTAGTTCCATAAATTTCACTATATCTGTCCTGAATTGTCCTGGATTTTTAATTTTTTTGATCAGCTCCATTTTAATTTTGCAATTAATCTTTTTGACATTCTAACTGAGAACACATAAAATTTTCAGGTAAACTGAGAGAATTGATTTTATGAGGAATGGGCCCTTCCTACTCAAGAACACTGTGCACATATCCATTTGTATCATTATTTGTACATGACTTTCAGAAGCATTTCTTGATAGATTCCAATGTCCTTTATTTTCAGGTTATCACAGATCTGAACTTCTTTTTGTCTTCTAATCAGTTCTTTTCCATTTCCACTTAAACACTCACCCACATTTACCTTTTTTTTTTCCTGAGCATTGATGCCCTCTATAGGTACTACAATATTTTATATCAAAATTTTGATGAGAAACAGAACAAGTGCATACATATATAAAACTAAGCCAGATTTAACAACTTAAAACAAAACAACTTGTAAAAATTATGTGTAATTACCGACTTCAAGATCAGTGAAAGAGCCGTTTAAGAATCATGAGAATGAAAGGACGAAACGAAGTCAAGAAATCATTTATTTCCTCATTTTCCTCCGAAGTCCCCTCTTTCATATTTTGCCTATCATGAAGCAGCCTGTTGATTTTTTCCTAGAAAAGTATGAAGCATTAGCAGAAGGTAAACTTTTAAAACTCCCAATATTTCAAGAATAACATTTTATATTATAAGATATTAAATTATCTGCATTTTGCTTTTAAAAGTATTCCCTCATATTAGATCATGAGAGGGTATTATTATTACAGAAGGAATATCTCCTAGTTTAAGCTTGGAAAGTGAGAGGAAGTATGGGATGACCTCCCTCCTGTGCACCACTCACTAGGGTTTTGCAGAGTACTAACCAGGCATGAAGACAATAGTTCCAAGGTGTTCTGGCCAAAACTGTGCTATTTGGGAGATGGCCTTTGATCTGAATGGCATGAATTTTCACCTGCATCTTAAACATAATTGTAACTTCTAAGCTGATCTGGCAATCTGCTATAAATACTAAAAGGTGGGAGAGGAGAGAATTCTCCTTAGCTGTGTGCTGACTGGCCTACTCTAACCTGGGGGCAAGTGCACGGGGGTAGGAGCAGTGAGTCCCTCCATTTCTAAGGCTATGCATACCTGAAAGTTTTAGGTCAACAAGGATCTGCTCTAAGGTCTTTGGTTGCTAGTAGGCTCCTGATAATTGGCAGTGATTTTGGTAAAGTGAGCCAATTGTTGCTTATATTACACACACCTGGTTACATACATGTCATCTAATATTGGCTCCATGTGATTGTGGGGAAGTTGGGGTTCCTATGGCCAGGATCGTCACTGAACTTAAACCACCTGATGATGTAACTGGCCTGTTGCTAGGCTACCCCTTCCACATCTTTAGGCAATAAGCTATTATTGCACTATATAGAGAGCTCGGCCCAGTGCTCTGGGTGGAGGCAGAGATGCTAGTGCTGGATCTACCACTGGGAGAACAAGCTGGGTAATAAACTCTTTCACCCCAAAGAACATTTGCTGTCAATTTCTTTGGTCTCATTGAATCCATAGCGAACTTGCCCAGGGCTGAAACCCATTGGCAAGACAACTGGCATAGTTGGCAGGGTTCATTGTTGACCAAGGAAAAAGACAGGCTGCCCTTATGGGTGGGGTGCTTCAACCAGCTGCCCCTGTGAATGGGGAGACAGTGGATTGTCCCCCTATGGGTATGTGGTCTGAAGGGGCTTGCCTCCTAGAGGACTGGGCCCCACCCTAGGACTGGAGGCAAGTGAAGGTGACACCTGAGCCAGTAGAGGTGGTCCTTGTTATACTAAGTAGGTCTTTTGAGAGACAAAGTACCAGTGAGGCACCGGGGACTATGGGTTGACTGCTTCTCATGGTATTAAAAAAGTCTGCAGAAGAGAAGGACATGCTCCTGAAAAAGACCCAAGAAATGGCAGCATGAGAACACGAGCTGCAAACTGCTGTGGATTCCCTGAAGGAAGAAATGGCATAGATGTGAGAGGAGGCAGCACAAGAAAGCTGGCAGCAAGGTGCCACTGAAAAGGTAAAAGATTCCTTACAGGAGTCAGCAGTGCTGCCAGGTGCTCTGAAGGAGGAAAAGGCCAGCAATGAAAATGACAAACTCCTGAGGGAAGCACAGGCAGAGGTGGCATGAGAAAGCCAACTCGGCAAAGCATTGAGGTGAAGGTAAGGGAGCTGCTGAAGACTGAGCTAGCATTGCTGTGAGGCACGATAGAAAAAGTAAAGGTTGTATCAGAGGAGGCACTCGGGGGAGGAGAGAGAAAGGTGCCATCAGCCTCAGAAATGGAGGAGCTGGGAAAGGATGAAGGGGTGGTGCTGGAGGCACTGACCTCTCCTGTATGGAAAGCACGCCCAGTGGTTGTGAAGAAAATAAAGATCCAGCGGCTGAAAGATCCCCAAGAAGAGAAGCAGCCCCCTCCCCAGGTCGTGGAGCACTCTATGTTCTGCCCATATACTCAGGCTGAGCTGGTGGATTTGGGTTCCCGGTTTAGGCAGAAGCCCTCGGAGTCCGTATCAGCTTGGCTCCTGCATCTGTGGGACTTAGGGGTGGATGGAATTGTTCTGTCAGAATCAGAGATGGGAAAGCTGGCTTCCCTGACAGTGCAGCCTGCCTTGAGGCAGCAAATACAAAATGCACATCAGACCCCAGGGAGTAACTCCCTCCTTGATTGGCTTATGGCTGCACTTCATGCTGTGTGGCCCAATCCAGGTGATGTACCATCCTCTCCTGTTAGATGGCAGACATATGCTGAGCTACAACAGGTGTTACAGGAACTAGGCATAAGAAATGCCATCTATAGTCCAGAGAATGGCCCAGATGAAGAGATTTTCACTACTGGGAGGAGAAATATTGTATTTCAAATGGCTCCTACATCCCTCTTTGGGTCTCTAGTGTCCATTCTTTCCCCTCATTTAAGGCATCCCATAAGCGAGGTGATACCTACAGTAGCAAACTTAGGAGAGGCTGAAACAATGAGAACCCAGAAAGAAATAAGGTCAACTACTCACAAGAAGAATTTAAAGGGTAAAGGGTCCCATGAAGGTTACAAGGACCCAGATGTGGGTTGACTTAATATGGGCAGGAGCAGATGAAAGGAAATTAGATGGGAAGTCAAATAGGGTCTTATTAGAGCTATGGCAACAACTGAAACCATAGCACCAGTTCCAGCCATTAAGACCAAAGAGGCAGAGGTCAGAGACAGAGCCACGAGTCCAGCCTGTGTGTTTCCAAGACTTCCTGCTGGAGAGTGAGCCAACCTTACTTGAGCCCACACAGAAAAATGATTCAGGAACACGGTTTGACTGAGGGGAAGGTCAAGGTATCTGCCCTGAGGGACCAGGGGGGACTGGAGGCACATGTTGAAATAGCTATCCATTGGTCCCCAGTGAACATACAGTGTGTCCTGGCTCTGGTGGACACAGGGGCTGAATATTCACTGATTCATGGTAACCCTGAGCAGTTCCCTGGGACCCCCACTATCATAGATGGATATGGGGAAAAGGCTATCAGAGTGAAACAAGCCCAAATCCCTTTGGGAATAGGGCGTCTACCCCCAAAGGAATATATTGTGTATATATTTCCTATCCCTGAGTATATATTGGGGATTAATATGCTCTAGGGTTTATGGTTGCAGACCACTGCAGGTGAGTTCAGACTGAGAGTATGTGTGGTGAAGGCAGTTCTGAGGGGACATGTTAGGCATCCGTGCCTCTATGGGTGACTAATACAAACAATACAAATTGCCTGGAGGGCATAAAGTGATTGGGGAAACTCTCCAGGAGCTGGAAATGGTGGGTATTATAAAGCCCACCCATAGTCCTTTCAATTTCCCAGGGTGGCCTGTAAAAAAGCCAGATGGCTCCTGGCATATGACTGTGGATTACAGAGAACTGAATAAAGTCATACCCCCATGCATGAAGTTGTCCGCTCTATTGCAGGCCTGATGGATACCCTCAGTCATGAACTAGGAACATACCATTATGTGGTAGATCTTGCTAAATCCTTCTTTTCCATTGACATTGAGCAGGAAATTCAGGACCAGTTTGCCTTCATGTGGGAAGAACAGCAATGGACTTTCACCATCCTTCCACAGGGATACCTCCACAGCCCCACCATCTGTCATGGACTTGTAGCCCAGGCTTGGCTACATGGGAGAAACCGCCAATAGTGTGACTGTACCTTTATATTGATGATGTCACGTTCATGTCTGATTCTCTTTCAGATCTAGAAGGTGCAGCACCTAGACTGCTGCAACATTTACAGGAGAAAGGATGGGCTGCTAACAGTACCAAGGTTCAGGAAGCTGGTTTGTCCATCAAATTCTTGGGGGTCATCTGGTCAGGTAAGACCAAAGTTACACCAGAAGCAGTTATACGTAAGCCTTTCCTACACCTACAACTGTAGCATTGCTGCAGGAGTTTTTGGGTCTTCTAGGCTACTGGAGAGTGTTTATCCCACATTTGGCACAAATTCTTAAGTCTTTATACTGGTTGGTATGAAAGGGCATCAGGTGGGACTGGGATAAGACATATGCATCTGCCTCTACTACAGCAAAATGGGCAGTCAAGGCAGTGCAGCCATTGAGTGTGATAGACCCATCAAGGCCCTGTGAGCTGGATGTTCATGTGACTGAAGATGGTTATGGCTGGGGTCTCTGGCAGCAGCTTGAACAAACTCACCAATTGATTGGATTATGGTCACATCTCTGGAAAGGGGCAGAGGTACGATACACTTTGATAGAAAAACAACTGGTGCCATGTATCATGTCTTGCTGGCTACAGAATCCATCACTGGAATGGCACCGATAAAAGTAATAACCACCTATCCCTTCTTGGGGTGGGTACAAGACTGGACCCAAAGCCAAGGAGTGGTGTGGCACAAATGCCCACACTGGCCAAGTGGTGTGCTTACCTACAGCATAGTGTCCTCTCTAGTACCCCCTTGAATGAAGAATTCCAATGCTTATTGGGGCCAGTGACATATACTAGTGAAAAGAAGGAAGAACTTGTTTTTGAACCATTAGTAGCAGAGAGTCGCTATTGGGAGGGAAGAGCTCCTATACCTGAAAATTCATGGAACACAGATGGCTCCATCTGTGGGAAGTCCCCAAAATGGAGGGCCATAGCTTTCCATCCTAAGACTGAGACAATATGGATGGAAGATGGTGAGGGGAAGAGCAGTCAATGGGCAGAGTTGTGGGCTGTGTGGCTTGTGATCAGCCAAGAGCCCTCCCCTATAGTTCTCTGCACTGACAGCTGGGCTGTCTGTCGAGGCCTGACCCTGTGGCTACCAACCTGGTACCATGCCAACTGACCCCTTTGGGGGGCAAGAATTGTGGCAAGACTTATGGGCCTGTGGTCAGACCAAAATAATTACAGTATACCATGTGACAGGTCATTTGCCATTGACATCTCCAGGAAATGATGAGGCAGATAAATTGGTCCAGATATGTTGGTTAGAAGGAAAGCCTGCCTCTGATGTAGCCCAGTGGTTTCATCAGTGTTTGTTGCATGCAGGGCAAAAGACAATGTGGGCTGTAGCCCATCGGTGGGGCTTGCCTTTGACCTTCGAAGAAGTTAGTGGAGCCCGGCAGGAGTGCGTCATGTGCTCCAAAAGAGACTTACACCGAGTTCCACAGCAACATGGCACAATAGCTAAGGGGCCAAAACCCCTCGTCAGGTGGCAGATAGACTATATTGGGCCTCTACCTGTGTCAGAAGGATATCGGTATGCCATGACTTGTGTGGACACAGCTACTGGACTTCTGGTTGCTTTTCCTACCCATTGTGCAGACCAGCAGGCGAACAAAAGAGGCCTGGAGCATCTCTTTGCTGCCTTTGGAAGACCGCAGGTAATTGACAGTGATTAGGCACCCATTTTACTGGACATACACTGCAAGAATGGATGCAACAACTGGGAATCAAATGGAAGTTTTATGTGCCATACAATCCTACTGCAGCAGGCACAATAGAGAGGCACAATGGCTTGTTAAAATCCAGATTAAAATCAGATACCAATAGTCTGTGGGGATAATCTGTCCACTTATGGATCGTGCTATGGTGTTTGAACGAGAGACACCGAAAGGGAGCCCTGAGCCCCATAGACATGTTAACACATATGGCTGCCTTCTCCATATAACTCCGAGTACAAACCAAGGAAGAATCACTGAAGCTGAGGTTGGCCACCAGCATAACATCTTGCTGCCAGCACCAACTGCGCTGAACCCCAGAGACTCCATTGAGTGGATGTGGCCTTGGACCTTTCGACACATGGACCAACAATGGCTGGCTCTCCTGGCACCTTGAGGACAAGGCCTGGAAGTGGGCCTCCTATGTATTCCTGGAATAACAGCTAAGTGGCCTCCAAAGGTCACAGTAGTATATCCTGAACAGCCAGAAGGTAGGAGCATCTTACTGGGGAGTTTTGTTTCATCATTATGGCCAGGGCATACACCTGTAGTAGCACTGTATATAGACCCTTCAGTAACCCCCATGGGGAAAGGAGGAAAAGTATGGTATACTAGACCTGGAAGGACCCCCTTCCTGCTACAGTCCTATCACAGGACTATTCTCTTGCATGCATCCTACCTGATGGACAAGCTTTGCCTATGTTGGTGTCATTAAAACATGTGTCTTATCACACCTAAGGTCTTTGTGGATTGGGAACTTCCTCTGGCTTAAGGACTATTATAATTTTTGTTATTTGTATCAAAATCTTGTTGTATCTCAATTTTTGTTAATATCTCTAAGTTGTTATCCTCTGTTGCTGTTGTGGAATCTGGTTACAATGTTCCAACTTTCTCGCACAGGGACCATTACGGGAGATTGAAAGTGTGCAGATTGTAAGGCAAAAATCCTGGAGGGGTGGAGTGTGGGGAAGTTGGGGTTCCTATGGCCAGGACCCTCACTGAACTTAAACCACCTGATGATGTAACTGTCCTGTTGCTAGGCTACCACTTCCACACCTTTAGGGAGTAAGCTATTATTACACTATATAGACAGCTTGGTCCAGTGCTCTGGGCAGAGGCAGAGATGCTACTGCTTGAATTACCGCCGGGAGAACAAGCCAGGTAATAAACCCTTTCACCCTAAAGACGGTTTTCTGTCAATTTCTTTGGTCACATTGAATCCATAGCGAACTGGCCTGGGGCTAAAACCCATTGGCAAGACAGTGATCATCCAGGAATCCCTCAGAACAGTAGCACAAGCTCTGAAAAGGTCCTTTATATTCTGTAAATGATTGGAGGTACCAAGTTGTACTGGACACGCCAGAGATTCCCTGTGAACAAAATTCAAGACCATGACATCAGATGTCTCTGGGCTTCTACTGAATTGAATGCTATAAAGGGAGTGGGTCATCTTTCTGTGACTTCACTTCAATTTTCACCCATTTCTCCCTGGGTTCCTGGTCTGTGTCCCAGTCACTGCCCAGCCCCAGCCCAGACTTACATCAAGCTTCCTGGAGTTCTTATTCGCCTGTCTCTTCATTTCTCTCAACTTCTCTTCCACAATGGCAAATTTGACATTGAAGATTCTTTCTCGATACGCCATCTTTTGCTCCAGCTCCTCACATCTTTTTGCAAAATGCTCCTTTTCCTCTTCAGCTGCCTTTATTTTGGCCTGCTCTTCTGCAGGATTTTGTAAAGGAGAGAAAACGTCAGTCAGGCCTGATTGTCTACAGTGCACCCATTTTCTCAGAGATCTAACTATCTGGGAAAAGCAGGGTGGAATTGCCCTCATTCCCTGCTGACTGCCCACTGAGAGCAGTTGAGAATGCATCGGGAGAGGCCCTGACAATCTGGCTGGATGTGCAACCACAAGTGGCGTGCCGTTTTCAGATTCAGCAGCGTGTTCACAGAAGGAGAGGAAGCCCCTTACTTCACGACAGCCTTCCTGTGAGAGCCCCAGAGAACACTGTGGGAGCCCCTGCCGCCTGTGTGCTCAGCCCGCCCCTTACCTGCCAAGGCCTTCTCTGCATTCTGCAGCTGCTCATCTTTCTCATTACACTTTACCACTAGTTCCTTCATCACCTGCAGTACCTCCTGGAGACCACAAAGAGGCAAAGACATGTCAGGCAGTCAAACCGGACCTTCCTTTGAAATAATCTGAGAAAAGTACTGTTCTGATGAGCATTTCCTAGTTGCTTCCCAATGGTGGTAAGTAAAGTTTCCAAGATACCACCTCCCTCCCTCCCTTCCAATGACCTCTGCCAGTGCAGCTGCCCGTGGCCCATGCTAGGTGCGACCAGTCAGAAAAACGTGCATTTTTTGCAAACACATCATCTTCTGTGCTTTCATATTTTTCACATGCTAAATTTTCTGCTTGCATCTCCCTGGTAACATCACACCATGGATGGTGTATACAGAGTTTTCAAAATTTATAAACTCATTACTCTTCCAGAAATATATCCTAGGCCATCTTTCTTCCCCTTGTGAGTTCCACACACATTTACATTTGCATATTTGCATGAATTGTCCATTTTACATGCTGTATTTTGTAGTGTGCAAATTATATCTCAATAAAACTCTTAAAAGGAACTTGAATTACTCACATCTCAGAAAAAATGCCCTTTTAATACTGGTGAGTATTGGTAACCCTTCTGTATTTCACCTATCATGAGACAGATCGTTCATTTGTTCCTAAAAAAGTATGAAGCGAAGTAGAAGCTAAACTTTAAAAAAGTCTCAGGCATTCAAGAATAAGGTTTAATAATATAAGTTAAGAATCTGTCTACATTTTCCTTTTAAAAGTATTCTCTCATATTAGATCATGAGAGGGTATTACTTAAAGCAGGAATATCTCCTTGTTTAAGCTTGGAAAGTGAGAGGAAGTATGGGATGACCTCCCTCCTGTGCACCACTCACTAGGGTTTTGCAGAGTACTAACCGGGCATGAAGACAATAGTTCCAAGGTGTTCTGGCCAAAACTGTGCTATTTGGGAGATGGCCTTTGATCTGAATGGCATGAATTTTCACCTGCATCTTAAACATAATTGTAACTTCTAAGCTGATCTGGCAATCTGCTATAAATACTAAAAGGTGGGAGAGGAGAGAATTCTCCTTAGCTGTGTGCTGACTGGCCTACTCTAACCTGGGGGCAAGTGCACGGGGGTAGGAGCAGTGAGTCCCTCCATTTCTAAGGCTATGTATACCTGAAAGTTTTAGGTCAACAAGGATCTGCTCTAAGGTCTTTGGTTGCTAGTAGGCTCCTGACAATTGGCAGTGATTTTGGTAAAGTGAGCCAATTGTTGCTTATATTACACACACCTGGTTACATACATGTCATTTAATATTGGCTCCAAGTGATCATCCAGGAATTGCTCAGAACAGCAGCACAAGCTCTGGAAAGGTCATTTATATTCAGTAAATGCTTGGAGGTAACAGGTCTTACTGGACTCTCCAGAGACTTTCTGTGAGCAGAATTCAAGTCTGCGACTTGAGCTGTGACAAACTCTGGGTTTCTATTGAATCGAATGCTGTAAAGGGGGTGGGGTGTCTCTCTGTGACTTCACTTTAATTTTCACCCATTTCTCCCTGGTTCCTGGTCTGTGTCCCAGTCACTGCCCAGCCCCAGCCCAGACTTACATCTAGCTTCCTGGAGTTCTCATTCCCCTGACTCCCTATTTCTCTCATCTTGTCTTCCACACTGGCAAATTTATCATTGAAGGTTCTTTCTTGATCCGCCATCTTTTGCTTCAGCTCCTCACATCCTTTTGCAAAATACTCCTTTTCCTCTTCAGCTGCCTTTATTTTGGCCTGCTCTTCTGCAGGATTTTACAAAGGAGAGAAAACGGCAGTCAGGCCTGATTGTCTACAGTGCACCCATTTTCTCAGAGATCTAACTATCTGGGAAAAGCAGGGTGGAATTGCGCTCATTCCCTGCTGACCGCCCACCGAGAGCGGTTGAGAATGCATCAGGAGAGGCCCTGACCATCTGGCTGGATGTGCAACCACAAGTGGCGTGCCGTTTTCAGATTCAGCAGCGTGTTCACGGAAGGAGAGGAAGCCCCTACTCCCGGACAGTCTTCCTATGGGAGCCCCTAGCCGCCTGTGGGCTCAGCCCGGCCCGTACCTGCCAAGGCCTTCTCTGAATCCTGCAGCCGCTCATCTCTCTCCTGGCGCTGGGCCTCTTGTTCCTTCATCTCCTGCAATGAGAGCTGGAGGCCACAGGGGCTCAAAGACACGTCAGGGTGGTCTGAGCTGACCTTGCATTGAAATGTTGAGAAACACTGTTATGATGATCATTCCCTGGTTACTACCCACTGGCTACGAGCGAAGCTTCCCCAATCCTGCTACCTCCCTGCCCTTCTGCCTCCTCTGCCAGTGACCCGTGCTACGTGCTGCCCGGTCAGAAGAACATGCCATTTTGTCACAGAAAATCTGTCTTTTCGTGTACTTCACATGCTGTTTTTCTGCTTGTGACTCCTCTGGTAAAATCCCACTATGGACAGTATGTACAGATTTTTCAAAATGTATATCACACTCTTCTTTCAGGCAGGTTTCCTGGGCCACCTTCCTTTCCCATGTGAAACCATTGTACATTTACATTCTGTACATGTAAACTTGTCCATGTACATTCATTTCATTTGTATGAATAGTACATTTTGAATGCTTGTAATTTGTGGTGTGTGAATTATTTCTCAGTAAAATTGTGAAAAGAATCTTAAATTGCTCCCATCTCGGAAAAAGTACCCTCTTTGAGACTATTGTTAGCTTTCTTAACTCCCTGGTCCGTCCTGGGTTTGCATAACACAATCCCTGTGGTTCCTTGCAGCTGTGGGATCCTGTGATTCTATCTACAGAGTATGATTAACAGCAGTGCAACTAAAAGCAAAATAGTGATAAATAAGGATCTGGTAAGAGAATCATCCAAAGAAGCTTGGGTTACTTTGAATGGGAGAGAGCGCGCAGCAAATGAACAAACTCAAAATAACATAGGTATGTTCCCAGCACGTAAGGAATATTTGTGAGTATTCAGTCATGGGGGTCATCTGAATGTCTAAGCTGGTTTGGTTTCAGAGGGCAGACAGATCTTCAGATAAAGTGCCTAGGTTGGAGGAAAAGCAGATAAAAGAGGTTAATACAGTCCTTTATCACTCTGGCACTCAGAAGAATCAGGACTTATCCAGTATGAACTGTTGCTAACCTATGGCCAATATGGTTCCCTGTAAGTAGAGGGCATGACAGGGCAAGTATTAAAGGTATTTGCCCAAAGTACATAGTGAATAAGCAGTAGACCCAGGACGTGAAACCTGGAAGGTCTCTTTCACTATATTCTGTGTTTTGAAACCAATTACTTGGCAAAAAAGTCTTCCCCTAAAGTATTGCTCACCCATACTCCTTGATCCGTAAACTTCCAGGGGACTTGTATTGACTCTCATATCCACAAAACACTCTCACTAATGCATTTCCGTGGACTGATGGGCCCCTCCTATACCTGCAGTCAGTCAGACCCTCAGCTCACAAACCACTGGGCAGCTTTCTGACCTGACTCTCACCTGGCACAGCTGGGGCTTCACCAGCATGTCCTGCTCACCTCAGGTTTATGAAAGATATATTTTCATGCTTTTTTATTCCTTGATATCCAGTCCTATTTATTATGACAGTTCATTTATGTATTTAACCACACTGTTTGAGCACCTATTATGTAGCACAAATTATGCATGCATCCTTGGAAAAGATGATAAAGAAGCAGTGGTCCCTACCCTCAAAGTGGTATGAAGGTAACTGTTTCATTTAGTATTAGACTCAGCTAAGACAGAGAAAAATGGCTCTTAAACAATTTACATTTATTTCTTCTCTCATAAAAAATTTCAAGGGCAGCAGCCCAGGGGTGGTATGACAATTTTGTTTCATAAAGGATTGAGGGCTCAGAACCTTTCTGTCATATGCTCAGCCATCTATTCATGGGAGAGGCTGTGGCTGTCATATTTATATTCTAACCAGAGAACGGCGTTAGGAGAAGGACAGGCTACTACTCCTTTAAGAACTCATCCCGTCTGCACAAAACAAATTCCGTCTTTAAATACTCACAGTAATATACACAACCATAAGAGAGGGTGAAATTATCATCACTATCCTGGGACATCTGTGCATGGCAAATGAGCAGGTGCTCCATTAGTGCAGGAAAGGGAAGAATGGATATAAGGGAACAGTGACCAGTGATTCCCAATACCCATCTCAAACTGTGAGAGCAACAGAGAATACATCAGTGATCACAGCCCACGGCTTATCACACTTGTAACTATCTTCACTGAAGGTCTAAGCTTGGAAGGATAGGTGTCATGTCTCACTTGTTCTCTGCTGGTTCCACACAGTGTGCAGATGGTAGGTTTGTGAAACTGAAATAATCCTGAGGAAAGGGGTCTATGTGAGCTAAGTGGGTTACCGAATCATGTGTTGAGATGACTTAAATGAGCTTTAGAATAGAAGCAGAGAAGAGCCTTGGCAACTGTAAGGCGTGATAGTTCTGAGGGGGCAGGGCGGGTTTCAGAGGGAAGGCAGGGTGAGCTTCCAGAGGAGGGGGGAGAGGTCAGCCATGTTAGGTACCCGGACAGTTCACTGCACTTGTCAGCAGGGAGGCCACGGATGGCCTCACTGAGTCCAGATTTACCAGAGTGATGGACAGGAGCCAGAGAGGGAGGGAGGAGCCACTCTGTGGGAATGAGGGGAACCCAAAGGGGGCGGTTCCCTTCCCAGAGGGAGAGTCGGAGGATGTCTGGTCAAGAGATGTTGCTGAAGAATTTAGTGGTGAAGGGTCAAGGCCTCTGATACTTACTCCTCAGATAATAATCAGAATAAGGATGTCAACAGAAATGCTCAACATCTACATGGAAAAACAGAATGCAAAAGTTGCCAAATATTACCACACGGTGAGTAAGTTATGTGGAGTTTCATTGTAATCTTACATTTTCCTTTAATTCTGAATGATATTTTCAAAATAAAAAGTAACTTTCATGAGGATGGCGGCGTGAGTAGAGCAGTGGAAATCTCCTCCCAAAAACACATAGAGCTATGAAAATATAACAAAGAAAAATCTTCCTAAAATAGAGACCACAGGACACAGG